ACTCATCATATTTTTTGCATTTTAGATAGGATTTATTCAGCAAAATTTAAGGGTGACGTCATCAATTTTTTTAGGAGGGATGAACAAATACATTTTGAACAAAAGTTTACCATGCTTATAATAACTTTAAAATATTCCCAAGATTTCAAAGCATTCGGTTTTGTAATTCCTGATTAAATCGATAAAATAAAATAAATTCACGCCTTCATTAATTTTTTTGAGTCACCCTGCATATGCAAATCCAAAAATATGAATGGAATGATAAATCACAAGTACAGACTCATCATATTTTGTACATTTTAGATACGATTTATTCGGCAAACTTTTGAGCTGACGTCATCAGTTTTTTGTAGAAGATAACCAAATATATTTTGACTAAAAATTTATTATGCTCTTTATAACCTTAAAACATCTGCAAGATTTCAAAGCATTCGGTTTTGTAGTTCCTGATTAAATCAATAAAATAAATTTACGCATTCATTAATTTTTTTGAGTCACCCTGTATATGCAAATCGAAAAAATTTGAATGGAATGATAAATCACAAGAAGAGACTCACCATATTTTGTACATTTTAGATAGGATTTATTCAGCAAAATTTTATGGTGACGTCATAAATTTTTTAGGGGGGACGACCAAATACATTTTGATCAAAAATTTACCATGCTTATGATAATTTTAAAATATCTTCAAGATTTCGAGGCATTCGGTTTTGTAGTTCCTGAGTAAATCAGTAAAATAAATTTACGCTTTCATTTATTTTCTTGAATCACCCTGTATATGCAAATCCAAAAAATATGAATGGAGTGATAGATCACAAGTACAGACTGATCATATTTTGTACATTTTAGATATGATTTATTCGGCAAATTTTCGAGCTGACGTCATCAAGTTTTTGGAGGGGATAAGCAAATATATTTTGACTAAACATTTATTATGCTCTTTATAACCTTAAAACATCTGCAAGATGTCAGAGCATTCCGTTTTGTAGTTCCTGATTAAATCAATAAAATATATTTACGCATTCATTAATTTTTTTGAATCACTCTGTATATGCAAATCCAAAAAATATGAATGGAGTGATAAATGACAAGTACAGGCTCATCATATTTTGTACATTTTAGATATGATTTATTCCACAAACTTTTGAGCTGACGTCATCAAGTTTTTGGAGGGGATAAGCAAATATTTTTTGACTAAAGATTTATTATGCTCTTTATAGCCTTAAAACATCTGCAACATTTCAAAGCATTCTGGTTAGCAGATTAAAAATTAAATTTCAAAATGTTGTTTTATAATTTTGATTTTTTTTCCAAAAATCTGGACGTTTCGGGTGAAAAGTCGATTCAGAGTTGTAAACTACATGTGTAGGACTATGTTATTTTATACAATTGAAAACCCATTTACTATGTACAATTTTGAAGTGACGTCATCGCATTAGTGGTGGGGATGATTAGACAAATTTTGGTTAGCGTTTTACCATCTACATGATATTCTTAATATAAGTACAAAATTTCACAACAATCGGTCGAGTACTTTCGGAGATTATCTGTCTAATAAAAATCCGGGACGGCAGACGGACAGACGGACAGACGGACGGACAGACGGACGGACAGACGGACAGACGGACAGACGGACAGACGGACAGACGGACAGACAGACGGAAATGGGAGACCTATTTCTTCGTCTTCTAGGGGTCATGAAAGATCGAGAAAACGTAAAAGTAGAGAGTCGGCCGACGGACTCGATTACAATACTTCCTTTGCTTACGCTCGGGAAGTAAAAATCAAAAATAATTTATGACTGACTTCATATTATTGACAAAAAAAATTTAATAAAAAATGGACAGTAACATACTTGTGGCAAGCCTTTATATTATTATGTAGAAGTACTTTTCTCTCTCTTGTAAAGATCTACAACAATGTTTTATATCTAAAATGTACAAAATATGATGAGTCTGTACTTGTGATTTATCATTCCATTCAAATTTTTTCGATTTGCATATACAGGGTGATTCAAAAAAATTAATGAATGCGTAAATTTATTTTATTGATTTAATCAGGAACTACAAAACCGAATGCTTTGAAATCTTGCAGATCTTTTAAGGTTATAAAGAGCATAATAAATTTTTAGTCAAAATATATTTGGTTATCTTCTACAAAAAACTGATGACGTCAGCCCAAAATTTTGCCGAATAAATCGTATCTAAAATGTACAAAATATGATGAGTCTGTACTTGTGATTTATCATTCCATTCATATTTTTGGATTTGCATATGCAGGGTGACTCAAAAAAATTAATGAAGGCGTGAATTTATTTTATCGATTTAATCAGGAATTACAAAACCGAATGCTTTGAAATCTTGGGAATATTTTAAAGTTATTATAAGCATGGTAAACTTTTGTTCAAAATGTATTTGTTCATCCCTCCTAAAAAAATTGATGACGTCACCCTTAAATTTTGCTGAATAAATCCTATCTAAAATGCAAAAAATATGATGAGTTTGTACTTGTGATTTATCATTCCATTCATATTTTTTAGATTTTCTTAAGAGGTGGTTCAAAAAAATTAATGAAGTCAATTTATTTTATTGATTAAATTAAAGGCAACACTTATTATTAGTATTACACCCCAACCAACCCAATTTGGTAGACACAAAATTTGTTAAAGGAAAAACTCGGTTGAAACATAAGGGTAGCACGCTTATTTACATCGACTTTAACATTACAGACCTGCATTTGTTTTATGCGCTCACTTGGTTCCGCGAATGTGGAATAGACATGTTTATAATCAACCAATTGTGAATTTCACCGTCAAGAATTAAAATAAAACCCAATGTTTTACATAATAAGCGGAAGTCGAAGCAATAAAACCGATGGTAGTTTTGTTTACAGTTTCTCTGTTTGACTCTCACGTATGCTGTTACGCTTGTCATCTTAGATTAAGAATGTTTATACATAAACGATTTTCAGTTGCCTTTCATATTACTAGACAGCGGATTTTTGTCGGGCTACGTCACGATTATAGGTGGGGACGCGCTGGATCGCCGGGACTCAGTAGCGGGTGATAGATAATCACTGAATTTAATCGGTACTAATTCCATAAATATAATTAACGATTTATTAATCAAACGGCTAAGTAAACGAAGTGCAGTCCGCAACCGCAATGAATTCGCATCCCGTACGAGCCGTACTGAGTTTGGCCTTGCCTAGCCCGACAGAAATCCGCTCTCTAGATATTACACACCGGCGCCGTATACGTGAGTAAATTGTTTCGTTATTTTATTGATTATAAGAAATCATATTCAAAACGACCCAATTCATTTTCCCGAAAATTTGGGAATACAATCATTTTATTCTTAGTATTACACTACATCTATCCCAACTGATATACGTGTCCTTGCAAAAATGTTGATGACGTCATCACAATTTTTTTTTAAATTCCCGCTACAAAAATGTAATGAGAAAACAAAACACAATAGGCATGCAGTCGTCAAGTTTCCGACAGCGAGGGAAGTACTGTCTAAACTCTTTAGACCAATTTTTATACTGAAACTTGTACAGTCATCAAAATTGATTGAGAGAGTTGGTACTCCCTGTTTTTGCCGTGAAGTTTGTCAACCTTATGACCAGGGTGCCCAGATCAGTCGTCATAGCAATCGCCAACAAAGGGACTCGAAAGTCGCCAAAATCGCCAACCCAAAACCAAAGTACCTATATTAAATATAGGGACTTTGCCAACAAAATACATTGTTGAAATCTAATCTTATCCTTTTATTTTAATATTTATTTTAATTAAAAAATGCATTGACCTTTTCAGTGTGATGAACTGATGAGTGATGAGTCACTGATGACTAATAACTAGAGAGCGGATTTCTGTCGGGCTAGACAAGGCCAAACTCGGTACGGCTCGTACGGGATGGGAATTTATTGCAGTTACCGGCTGCACTTCGTTTATTTGAGATTAGAATAACGCTGCTTCGTTGCACTCTGCTGTTAATTCCAGTTCTCATTTATTTAGCCGTTTGATTAATAAATCGTTAATTGTCTTTATGGAATCAAGTGACAATTAAATTCAGGGATTACCTATCACCCGCTACTGAGTCCCGGCGATGCAGCGCGTCCCCACCTATATCGTGACGTAGCCCGACAGAAATCCGCTGTCTACTAATAACACACTCTGTACTGTTTTTTTTTTTTTATATTGATTGTAAATATTATTCATTCTCGAAGGATATAAGGCCGATAATAAGAGAAGTTTATATTGATTCTTATTCTGTGGGTACGGTCACCGCTGCCACTCTTAGATCATATAATAAATAGATACCACCATGCCGTGTTCTTTCCCTAGCAGAGCCTGTGACGACATCCTCCTGTCACACATCTCTCTTGTGCATAGAGGGATTACAATCAAGCTATCCTTGCCTGATCACTATTTGAATTTTGCGCGCCTAAATTTTAGGAAGTATGTCTGAACTAACTTCGTACGAAAGATGTTAACAGCTTGATTTTATAAATAATTCACAGTAGATAACGAAAGGAACAGTAAATTATTGGGCTGCAATTGTGATCCTTTATGATTACATCACTTAAAATAGGATCTTTGTTCTAAATTCTAAAATTGTTTTTCGTACAAGAACTCGAAAGAGAGGTTAGAAGAAACATCTGTCAAAAGCGATTTCTTGCGCTGGTGCGGTACAAGGATGGAAGTGAAATAGGCATATACAGATGAAATGCATATAACAAAGATGAAGATGTGGTGATCACACAAGGATAGCATTATACTACTCCCCTTGACGTAGAAAACGACAACAGATAGCTTCATGTCTAGTCACAGCTTTCAGTTTGAGTATTGGTATCTATTTATTATATGATCTAAGCTGCCACTCACCTGCCACCAGCAACTTCCAGCAAGGCAGCAACGTTCTGTGACATTAACGTCAACTGCAACCTTGCGTTAACTGTAACCGCTGCTGCTGCGGATGAGTTTATAAATCCAGCTTTACAGTCACAATCGCAAGCTTCATGTCAATTGTCAATGTCAACCATGATGTCATGTCAACAAAGGTGGAAAATGTGCAAAATGCAAAATACCAATGATGGAAGGAAGTAACATTAACATTTACTGCCCAAATTTTTGAGTGTATTTTCACAGTAAGATAATCGTTGTAAATAAAATGATGTGCGAAGAACAATAGTCCTTTCAACAACGATTTGTTTGGCAGGTCCCGATTTTGTTGTGGCATTATAGTGTTGTGCGGTTAAATAAAAAGTATTCAGGGGATTTAAGTAGAAATTGGGGACTGTGGAGCAGAAGCTGGAAGCTTCATGGAATATTGATTTTTGTGGTTGACATTCTTTTTACAAAACGGTTATTTACGTTGACTTGGAAATGCAATGTGTTGTAGGTTGTGAATGCGATTGTAATGTAACAAAACAATCCTAACCTATTTTGGTTTTTTGTTATGGTTTTGTTGGTACCGAAAAGAATAAAAAAAAATGATTTTCTTTAAACCGTCGTGGGTAACACATGAAGGTAGATAGAGGCCTGTACAACTGGTAATTGCCCTCTTGTTAACAACAATATTTTATTTATAGTCAATAAGCCTATATTCTCCGTGGATATTCACCCAAAAGGGGGTCGCTTTGCCACAGGCGGCCAGGGAGGATCTGGTGGTAGAATAGTAATTTGGAATATCGCACCAGTTCTTTCAGAAAATGAGGAAAATGATCCAAAAATCCCAAAGATGTTATGTCAAATGGACAACCATTTAGGTAGGTACTTCCATTGTGTTATTTTTATGAAATAATTATTTAGCCAACAATTTGTTATAGCTTGTGTGAATGTTGTAAGATGGAGTAATGAAGGGCACCTGCTTGCATCAGGTGGTGATGATAAACTTGTCATGATTTGGAGACTTACAAGTGAAGGAAGTTCTTCAATTTTCGGAAGTGGTAAAGTTAATGTTGAGACATGGAAATGTGTTTACACATTAAATTCTCACAATGGGGATGTTTTGGATCTGGCTTGGGCACCGCATGATGGATGGTTAGCATCTGGAAGTGTAGACAATACTGTAATAATATGGAATGCTCAAAAGTTCCCAGAAAAGGTGGCAGTCTTAAAAGGACATACAGGCATGGTTAAAGTAAGAACATACATATTATATTCTTAAAGAGTTGAAATAATAAAATGGTTGGTAAGATGATGTAGGTAAATGTTATGAAATGAAGAGTATTGTTTTAAATTAAGAATTATTAAAACTTGACCAGAGCTATCAAAATCTAGTTAAATAGAAATATTTAAAATATATTCTTCATTTCAGCAGGAGTATGATCAGGGTATTGTAGAATGAACTCTGCTGTTATTCTGTAAACAAATACGATGTAGCGACATAGCGACTCTGGTTTCTGTTTAATGTATATACATATTTAAAAGATAAATAATGAATAAGGGGTAGCAGAGACTATAAGTTAGCATTATTTGTGATACACTTTTGTATCAAAACTAAAATAGACAGGAAGTTTTTGCAGCATACCACACGTTAGTAAATATGTTTGAAATTATTGTAAGTAAACTTGGATAATTTTTATAAAAAGTGTTCTGTGGGTATTACAATTGATTAAATTTTAAGTAGATTTTGTTATGTATCCCGTTTTGTTTTTAAAAGAAATTATAGGAAGTATTAATTTTGGCAGATCAATATGATATCCTGACTATTTTATGCCTTAACATATTCTTTTGTGTTTTAGGGAGTTACTTGGGATCCTGTGGGAAAATATATTGCGAGTCAATCAGATGATAAATCATTGAGAATATGGCGAACTTGTGACTGGATGCAGCAGGAGCTAGTGAAAGATCCATTTGTTGATTGCTCGGCAACTACACATGTATTACGATTGTCTTGGTCACCAGATGGTCAATATCTTGTATCTGCACATGCCATGAACGGAGGAGGTCCAACGGCACAAATTATAGAAAGAGAAGGTTGGAGGCAAGATAAAGATTTTGTGGGTCACAGAAAAGCGGTAACATGCGTCGTAAGTAGCATTTTACAGTCATTCGTAGATTTGACTGAATTTTAATTCAATAAATGTAAATGTGGTATTATTCTTCGTTCAAACATTTAAATTTTGAAGCCAAACTGTTTTTAAAACGTTCACCAGTTATTTTGTCATGATCATTAATTTCTTATGTTTGTGGTTTGTCAAGTCTGTGAAGTTCTATACAACCTATGATTATTTGTGAGTAGAACTCATTGTGTAGATATATTACATATTGCCAAAAAACAGAGTAAACTTCGTGTCACTAACGACCATGAAGATGGATCCCCATGCCAAACATCTATACATAAAAATGTACACTGCACGTTTTTCTCTCCAAGATGACGTTTGTTTTTCAATAAAAATAATCAAAAGTGTAATATTTTCAAATAATTTTTAGATATACCTAATGTTTGGGGAGGTGTTTTTTTTGAGTCACAAAAGAATTAACACTGCTGTAATATTGACCTGAGTTGTTTATTAGTTTCTGTTTAAATAAAGAGTGACACTGAAAAAGCATGACGATTTTTTTTTCCATCACCACGTGCACAGGTTATTTCAAAATAAATGTTTCTTTCCTTTGTTTTAATAGGGATACAGATAATATTTTTACGCAAAATAGTGGTATGGGAGTATCGCTTAATTTTATTATTTTATCAATAACATAAAATTTTACCACATTTGCTGGTGTTATTTGAAAATATTTTAAAATAAACTTGACTTAATGTTTGTATATAAATTACAAGTACATTTTATTGGATTAAAGTCTGAAATCATGGTAATTCGTACTTACAGATTATTTTGGAAACGGTCCACACCTAAAAAATCAAGACGCAACCAGAAGTGCCAAATGAGCATAAAAAACACCATCAAAGGCAACCATAGATTTTTGAAGATTTTTCTTTGGTAGAATTTTCGTCTTGTCAGATTGTAACGAATTTAAAAATGTGACTTGAAAATGCGTCGATCAAAGCCAAGTCTTCAAAAATCCATAATCGTGTTTTTTATTTCTCTCTCGGTACAATTTCAAAACCACCTTTGATATATTTCATCGATCTTATTGATTATATTATTGATTGGTATTGGTACAATTGTTGCAAAATGTACTCAAACGACGAAAAGATTTATAGAGAGAACATTATCCGTATAAGAGACACCCTAATGAGCTCTTGTTTTGCATTTGCTTGTTTTTGCCTTTATCCCAAAAATTAACGTTTATTTCCAAATTTTCAAACCAAACAGTCCTTCAGTTTTTATTTTAAAAAATAAATATCAATGACTGTTATGCAAATGTATTGTTGGTTGTGTTATGAATTTTTTAGGCGTGGAGCTTCCCGTTAATAATCCTGAAAACAAAATAACATAGATGCAATTTGGAGGTGACGAGATGCTTTATAATAGAACATTGTAGAAAAAATATAACTGTTAATATTTTTAGCGATTCAATTCGAATATTTTGAAAAAAATGTCACCCGGAAGTCCGAAAAGTCAACAGTACTGTTGTTGTGCCATAGGTTCACGAGATAGATCTATAAGTGTTTGGTTAACATCTTTAAAAAGACCATTAGTTGTTATTAAAGATTTATTTGACGATAGTGTGTTGGATATTTCCTGGAGTAGCAATGGTTTGTATCTCTTTGCTTGTTCGTGGGATGGCAGTGTAGCGTGCGTTATTTTTGACCAAAAAGAAATTGGAATACCTTTATCAATTAAAGAAAAAGTAAGTCTTAATGCGAAGATTTCTTGTCTTATTTTATTTGGTATATTTCAGAATGACCTATATGAACGAATTTATCACAAATCTCTGCAAAAAAGTTGGAATCTAAGTTTTAGTGGAACACAAATTGTTGAAAATCCTGAATTATTAACTGCCATTGATAAAATAAATGAAACAAGTAACACTGCCAGTGTTAGTTGTGAATTACCAGAACCAGCGTCAAAAGATGTGTCATTTGAGTCTCCAAAAGTTAGTACCAGCATTTTGGTTGCAGCTAATAAACAGGTTGAAACAAGATTGCCGTCTGGTAAAAGACGTATTACACCAATGTTACTTACATCAGTTCCAACGAGTAATTCAAATGAAGCAATTAATATTACTGCAAGGTAAAATTATTTCACCCTTTTTTATGATACCTTATCTTTTGTGAAAACCTAGAACTTGGGTAAAGTCCCATTTAGAAAATTTTACTGTTCCTTATTCCCAACGATTTGTCAAGGAAAGCAATTGTACATCATATTCCACATACAGGCTTTGGGTTACATGGTTTTTCAACGTTACAACATTTGATTTTTATGCTCACCAAATGTTAACTCTTCAACAAAAATTAAGATATCTGATGATCATTGCTTGTGCGACGAATCATTGGATATGTGGAGCCATTTACAGGAAACCTAGACTTAAAAATTTTTAGTTTTAGAACCAATTTAGAAGTTCCTCCCAAAGAAAGTACATCTTTTAGTAGCTCTTCTCCAACGAAGAGTAAAATTGTTGTTGAAACTGTAACAGATCAGAGGAAGCAACCAACATTTGGTGGTTCATCCGTGAAAGCTTAGTAATGTTCTTACTACAATATTAAATATTAAAGTTCATGTATTATTATCTTATAGTTCAGTGGTGAATGAAACAAATAAATTAATGGGTACTCCCCCAGGAACTCAGATTAATCAGCTGACGTGTTGTGAGGTACCAGGGGATCAACCTATTGTTCAGTTTATTAATATATTGGATCCTTTAAAGTTGCCTTCAGGCGTCGCAGTGACAAAACAGGCTGGAAATATAAAAATTCAGGTGGGTGTTAAAAACATTCTGTTATACGCTAAATCCTAGCGTGAGTTGTAAAAATTACCTAAATCCAACGACATTACAGTGGTTGTTGCTTGCACTTGTACACTGCAATGACGCTTTATATTTTGTAGGTAACTAATAACTGCCATAAAACGTCCAAAGGTTCTTTAGCAGGTATTGAAGTTTATAAAAATATGAATGATAAGGAACCAAACTGGGATACATACTTAGGTGACAACTCGAAACATAGTGTAGTATTTTGTGACATTTCAAATTTGCTTTATTAGGTTCAACAGTAAGGTGTTTAGCCGCCAACAGAAAGTTTATTGTAGCGTGCTGCGAAGATCTTAGTATTAATTGCTATGATATTAAATCTGGCGCTCGTCCACTACCACCTATAATCATTGAAGATGTTGTATCATCCATTAGTCTTTCACAAAACAGTTATTGCTTAGTTTTAACAAAAACAGGTTTATTATATATGTGGAATTGGGAAAATTGCAAAAGCATTTTAAGTCGGGTGTCAATCAGAAGTTTACTGAGTGGTAAAGGTACTTAAATTTCATAGTGTAAGTTTGACAAGGTTACGAGTTTATTAAAATTGTAGGTGTAGTCAACAGTTGTGGTTTAAGTTCGTCTAACTTACCTGTAATTACATTGACTGATGGGCGTGCGTATTCGTATGTCAGTGATCTACAGACATGGCAAGTATTTCAAGAGTTCTGGATTTTTTAATTCTAATTATTTTCATTAATTAGGGTACAATTATCAAATCCACTTGATCCCATAAGTCGGGTTGGAGGAAGTTTTACAAAGCGGATGTCACCACACCTACCATTAGCATCTTTGCAAAAAGCTATACCATTTCATAATTCTCATGATGCATTGCCTTCAGGTGTTACTTTAAGTTTTCTTGAATGCCAAATTATGGCCAGTTTTACAATTCACTCCCCTGATGAATATAGGCATTGGTTGATTGCAACCGTTAATTACTTACTTGATAAAGGTTTGTTTTTGTGTATATGAATATTTTTGAGACACTAATATGTTTGTTGCATTAGGTCCAGAATGCAGACTGCGGTTAATTCTAGACGAATTGTTGGGTCCTACATATTCATCGATGCCTGCTAAAAGAATCAAAGTGGATGACAACATTTTGGTTAGTTTTTGAAATATACTTTTTGGAAGAAAATGAAACCTATATTCCACGGAGGTAGAATGAGAGGAGGGAAGATAGTTTGAAAAAGTGACTGGTATACGGCGCTTTCGACTGGTGTCATAAATTGCTTTTCCAGCTTCTCTGAGAAACTAGTAGTGCCAGTGACGTGCTTGAAAGCGCTTGTCGAGAGGCTGGACATACGATTCAAAAATTAACCTGTAGTAAGTTACTGGCATTGATTAAATACATATGCATTTAATCAAAGTCAGTGATAAGGGTCATGAATGGGTAAGGGGTAAATTCTTTTACTATATGCTATATGGAAACCCATTCATAAGCAGAGTGCACCGTCACTAATTCTCTATTGATAACCGACCGTTTCCGATCTAGTGCGGAAAGGGTCATAAATGGCTCTTGCGTGGGGCTTTTTTGCCGGCGTTTCTTTAACATTGGTTAATGAAGATAAGGTATGCTTCCTCCTGTCATCCTATCTCCATGCAATATACATATTTTTGCATAGTTCACTTGACATAAATATTGGAAAAATCACGATTTTTTTTGTATAATAAATTTTGCATTCTGCAATATAAATACGCTGATGATTTAATAAGTTATAATTAATCAAATTTTAGGGTACATCTAGGCATGCTTTTCTTCAGGAAATTTTAGAAATCGTAAAAACAAAACTGCCATGGCAACGCTTATACAAGGAATATAAAGAACAACTTGATGAATTACTTTAAATATTTGTATTTTTTCTACATTACAGTAAATAATAATAAAAAAAACTATATACGTCGTTTTTTCATTTCTTCCTCAATGTATTTGTCTAGATCACTTAGAGGTTTATAGTAAATATGAACGGTTTGCGCTCCCGCCAACATGGTCAAAGTCGCAGCGGTAAAAAAACTTAAGTAGCGAAACCACGACACTCCTGCGGGCATCTTATTATGCAAGTGTTTCTTCTACGATGTTTTTGGCTTGTCTTATTTTATATACTCTATCTAAAATTAAATTATCAAATAGTTACATATACATCAAATATTGATGTCACAATGTGACAAAACACATTGCTACAATTTATGATATGCCCATAGATCACACTTGTGTACTATGTGAATATGACTCGAACATCAGTTCTATTACCGATTTAAATTAGGGAATTGCTACACGCACATAAATAGATTACTAAAGATTTTTTAAATTTCATTGTAAATACAAGATATTGGGACATTATGACCCTGTTATGTTGAACATATTTGTGTCTTTCGTATTCGTTTCTTTTGCAAAGTATACAATTGTAGTAAATTGTTTTTTGAGTCAATGAATGTTGTAAAAATGATACACCTAGAAAATTATAGACAGTAAGAAAGTGATAAATAATACTCGTTTTATGGTGTAACAAATCACAAATAACCTAAGTAGTCATAATTACAGAAAAGATATGAAAACGTAATAACAATTATGGTACCGTCGTTTTCAAAAAATTTTGGGCAAATGACATTGACATGAAAAGTCATATTCCCATTGCTTTTCATTGATCTATGAGAACCTGATTTGCTTATCTTGCCCAAAATTTTTTGGAAACGCCTGTACACCTGGAGTGTATGCTACTGGTGGAAAAACACTTCTGAAAATATTGATAAAAATTAAAAATTATCAGTAGTTAGTTTAATTTTCATAGTTAACTAAAATATTTATTATGATTTCTTAAAAAAATGTACAATTAAGCCTCAATGTTTTGAGCTATGCTCAACTACATTGAAAAAAACTGATTCAAATTTCGTACAATATATGCATTTGTCATGTGATACAAATTATTATCATAACTTTACAAATGAAATTAAAAAAGATTTTGTAACATGAAAGTATCAATCCGTGCACCTAATACCTATTCATCGCACAACTTGACCCCTTGGTATCTTTGCCATATTACACTTTTTGTCCTGATGTTTCCTGTTTTTATTTGTAACGTGAAAGAAATTTGCACTATAACACACATATACCTATTTAAATTCTAGTAGTTACACAACATATTTTCCAGTGTTAGAACTGATGTTTTCGTGCTTCATATTCATGGTCATTTTATGCCACCAAAGTGGATCAAATACACATACTTACAAAAATTCGTTTCACCAACTTGCCAGTTAATCATAGAATATTCTAATACAGCCCCTAAAATGAAAAACAGTGGAAGGAAGCGGTATTCTCCAATATACTTTTTTCCAGGCCACTTATTTAGGATTTGTTGAAATCTTATGCTACGTTTTATGTTCATCATATGTCAGTCTTTTCACATTTAAATATAAAATTTCACTGAAAAACAACATAAAGAACGATTTAAGAGAATTACATAACGCAACACGGTTCGTGTTGGGGGTGGTAGTAAAGCACAAGACAGTAGTCAAGTGTACTTACTTTTAGCAAAGGTATCTTGGTTATCATCTTTACAAATTAATGGAAAGCATAACAAAAACGAACTGTACAAAAATGAAATCTACACTCTACACAGTACTGTTCCTGTTCTAAAATTTTTACCAAGAATCAATAAATTATACTGAAAACACCTGAAATTAAAAGACTCACGGGACCATGCTAAGCACATACAATTTTGTCAAATAAATATCATTCGAAATAAATTTTTAAAAGGTACCTATGTTAGATCACTAGATGATTGCTTAGATGACTCGAGTAGTATGTGGTAGTATCATGTTAAATTTAGTGAATTTACCTTTCAACAGTTTTCTTTTTTTTTTTGGTTCGCCGGTTTGCCATTTTTGACATTATGTGACAGTGACAGTTAGCAATACACATGGAGGAACATTGTGGTTATGTCAGTTCGTTTTAATTGCAGCGTGTTTGTGAGTTGTATACACGCTTGTTATATGTGATACAAAAATACTTTTAAAATATTTAAAAATTTGTTTGTATATTTGCTAAAAACATTAACGCAAAATGGCAGAACTTGTGCAACGTCATATGGAGTCCATGGCTGAAGAAATGGAAGAAATGAGGAGAACAGAGTTATATACATTAAAAGAATTGCGGTTAGTTGTGGGTTAATTATTCCTGGGAATTATAAAATATTATAATATAGATAACATTTTTGCGTTTGTTTTAAATTAAGTGTCCAACATTTATATGACAAATGGTGTTTTTCTAATCACAAAGAGAAAATAAGAAGCCAAAGTCAGAGACTTTGGTGGAGAAAACAGAGTAAACAATTTTTAAAGGACTCTGATTGTTATGTAGATTTTTATGTTTTATTATTGATTTATTCTACTGTTACCACCCTGCTAATTTGTCATAATTATATCTTTTATTTTTTAGATTCATATTAAAAACACGGAAAGAATTTGAGTATAAAATTAATGGAGTTTCAAAAAACCTGAAGGATTTTAAAGAGTACATTATGTATGAAAAAGTTTTGTTGAAACAGATACATAACCGACGTGATAAAAATAAAATCGCTGAAAGAAAAAGCGCAATAGAATATAAAATTTTAAGAAGAATAAGAAATCTGTATGAAATAGCACTGCAACGATTTGCAGGCGATTTTTCATTATGTTTGTCATACTTTAAGTTTTGCAAACAGTCAAATTATATCAATGCTGCCTCCGTTGCTGTCCAAAATATGATAAAGGTATATTATTTACAGAAATGTAATGTAAGATGTGTAATAAATTTATTTACAGAATTGTGCCCAAAATCCAGATGTTTGGCAGGTTGCAGCTGCCTGGTATGCTCACGATCGCAATGATCTCAACACTGCTCTAACAGTTCTTAATAAAGGTTTAACTCTACATAAAAACAGTCAACTTTTGTATACTGAAGCTATAAAATTGGAATTGTCAGTTATGAAAAATCACAATACTAGAACAGATGGGGATGATTTGCCCAACAAAGTATGCAAAAAGATAGAGACGTATGTTAATTTCATATGTGATTGTATCAATGACTGTTGTTATCTAATTGAAATTTTAAATTTATTAGAATCATACAATTTTACAACTCCTGTTCAAAATTTAATGATTAAAAAACTTTTACAAAATCATTCAGAAAAGGAAATTGTATGGCAAACGTTAGCACAAAGGGAAAAGAGGGGTAAGTTTTAGATATGTAGTAATTGTATGATGATAAATATTTTGTGTGCCGCGGTCCGATGTTGTCCATTTTGCATAACTGACAGGCGGACGGCAAACACCGCTTTTGAATTACTATGCCGGCAGAAAGGTTACTAAACTAGATTTTTTTATTACTGACGGATCCATTCTACCAAAATAAGTTTTTCACAATCTCAAAAAAAAAAAAAAATTTGCCACATATTTGGAGTACATTTAGAGAAAGCTTCATGTCATAAATTCTCCACCGTATCCTTGAGCACCCAACGACGAAGTGATACTGAACCATTTTGGTAAATCCAAGTTTCGTCGAGGTACACGAATGTTAAAGTGGAGAATTTTAAAAGTGGAGGAATTTTCTCCAAAAAGTAATTTTTGCTGCAATAACATGTTTTTGTTCACATAAATTTTGCGACCGTTTCCATTTCAGGTCGCTAGAAATAACAATCTAGTATTTTTATTTTTTGAGCTATGTAATTGTGGGCACCATTTTTCCAATTTAAAATCGGCTTAGAAGTGTCAGTATATGATTAATTTTCCATAAAATGTCAGTGATGTTACTAAATAAATTAATCTAATTCGTCTACAAACTCGAATTCTGTGCAAAATATATTTTTTTTCAAATCCTTGAAGCGCACTGTAGTATAGTTTTCAATCATTAATTGCAAACTATCTTTTGATGTTATGTGCTTAATATAAGACCCGTTGCAATGCGCCCATACCAGCAATGGTATGGTGGAAGCCGAATCGGTTCATATCTCGTAAACCTTAAATAATGTGACAAATATTTTTGGCATTTTAAAAATTTCGCGCCACCTCTTCTAAGGCCGCCATCCTTTAAGTTTTAATAATTACAAGAATGCATCTGAATGACAAGAAAATTACTGTTAGTCATTTCTAGCGATCTGGGAATATTTAATATTTAACTTTATTAAATTAAAGTGTCGGCCCACAAAATTTTGTGTTTTACAAATTATTTTTTATCGAATCTTGAGAATATTTTGGGAATACTCGGAAATTACAAGCCTCGCCATTCGGGCTCGGCTTCTAACATTTTGTTCGCATTTCCAAAATTTCATTTTCCACACGAGTGAAACAAATAACTATTACCTTATAGTAGTAGGTTCTGAGGTAGTTTTTGCAGTTGCAGTTGATTTATGAGACAGACATTCAACATTAGTAACAAGTGAAGTAAATTGCTCACAAGTCACTGATAATGCCATTCAAAATTTAAAGATTTTTTATTAAACATATTTCGTTTAAATAATAAATTATTACAGTCGCGGACAGTGAATTTCGTCCACACAATTCACGCGAATTCACAAAAATTCACTGTAGTCGGTGCTTTATTGTCATGATGACTGACGTTAGTATTGTCAAATTTAATTTAGCTTCGAACCTGCCATCGATTTGTTATTTTAATGAAGGTAAACTAATATCCCTTTTCCAAGACGGGATGTCGCTACACTTTTCGGCCTACCGCGGACTAGTGTTAGTTATCGTATAAAAAAATGTTTGCCCCTTTATGTCAAAATGACAAAAAAAGGTTAGAAAGATCTAAGGGCTAATTTAGAGTTTTTTTCTGTCAAAGAAAATGGGTGGACGAAATTCACTATCCACGACCATACAAATAGTAACAACAAATACACTCAATTTTTAGTGTTATTCGGTAATTTCTTTACGAGTATATATTAAGGCTGATCTATAGATGCAGCAACGGCGTTCAAAATTTATGTAGTAATGAAGCAATTAATAAATTAACTTAACATGAAATTTTACACCTGCATATTATTGACTTGAACGTCAGTTTCAACTAATGGACATCCCAATAAATAATAGCACAATTTTTCATATATAGGGTCACCAAAATCGATTGAGAGAGTTGGTACCCCCTGTTTCTGTCGTGAAGTTTGTCAACCTTATGACAAATTTGTTTAAGGTTATATGGCAATGAATTCAGTGGCGTGACAAAAATTAGAAACTTCAAATCTGACAACTAATGTTTTTACCAAAAAAAAAGTTGAAAAAAGACGCCACTGAGTTTTGAAATTTGAAACTTGAAACTTCAAATCTGACAGCTAATATTTTTATACAACTTAACCTTCAAACTACCGGGTGGGGTCCAAATGGACCCCATTGATACATTTTCATATTTTTTCCCGTTATTTCTGGTTTAACGATAGTGGTATTTTTAGTAGCTTCGATTAAGGCCTTTTGCTATGCATTCAAAAAATATCAATTGAATAGGTGTAACAGTTTGTTACAAAAAAAAAAAATAATCTCTTGGGGTCCGCATGGACCCCACCTGGTTCTTTATGTTGCCATTTTTTTGTCTACATTTTGGAAATTTTATTGCACCTGCAGGTCTTATTCTGAGAATTTAGTCTTACAAAAACCATTGTTTTATTCTTTACTAGTTTATAGGCGGCGTTGCAGTTTTGATACAGATTTGCAGGTGTCAGTATCGGTGTCAGTGTGACAATGTAATCACTGTAAAAAATTAAATTTTGTTTTATCAATGGCACGTTATCAAAATCGATATCAGTACAATCCCGCGGACGCTGTTTCGTCTATATAAGCAGCAGGGACAGAAATCAAGAAATTTTTGCATTTCCTACAAAAGATTTGTTTGCCGAGATCATTCTATTCGTACTGTTGAATGTCAGGAATGCTGGAACAAAAAACTGTAACGAAAAATGCTTATTTATTATTGTTATGTAATTTTTTTAACTTGGTTGTGTTTAAAATTAATAAATAATTTGGATTCGCCACAAATTTTTGATTAATTCTTTAATTTTGGCTAAATAAGGCCATGGGGTCCAAACGGACCCCACCCGAAACGATGTGTAATTTTTCCCACCCGGTAGTTTGAAGGTTAATAAACCAAATTATTCAAGTTCAGGTTTACCAACTCTCTCAATCAATTTTGATGACTCTTTACCACGGTTGTAGAATAGATAGGTTTGTACACTAATGGCTTGGGATGGCGACGCTTCTTTTCGATCCCTATATCCATGGAAAGGACACATACAGCTAGCGCCTCTACCTTGTCGAGCGGAAATCGTTCTAGTTATTTTCGTTTACATTGCTTTATGAACACTAGGCGGAAAAATATCTTACGGATGCAATTCCCCAGTTGAAGCAAGGTGTGTTTTACGGCGAGTAGCGGGGACGCTTTGATCTGGTCCACAAGGTCGTAGCCAGTGCGTCGCTAGGAGTGTTTACAGCTTGTTAAAAAACTACTTCTATATTACTATATTACTTCAAATAAAAATACTCGATGCCCTTTTTAATTTTTCAAACACCTGACCACAGATTTGTGATCTTGAAATGTTATATTATGTTGATATAGTCCAAAAGAAAAATATATTTGTAATCAAACTATTGCCGCGACAGCACTGGATCGAGCGTATGAAAAACAATTCCGCGCGTTGTTTATGAACAATACAAAATTTGTAAATGACATTTGATCGGAGTCGATAAGTACGATTTCTTTTATTAATTACATCGGTTATAGACAGATGCCTATAGAGTTCTGTGTCCCTAAAACGTCAAAAACCAGGCGACGCGATCGGCAATTGGCGTCGCTGACCAGGGATATGCAAATGTATGCTAGTGTATCAACCTATCCATTCTACAACCGTGCTCTGTACTATAATATGAAAAAAAGTGATGCAATTTTTCCAGCAAAATTTAATGAGTGTTGATTGTTATGAGAGTTTGTTGCTTGGCAATTTTGCGAGTGACATCGACAGACAAAATAATGTCAATGTCACGAGCTAAATTGCTTAAAGCAACAAACTCGAATAAAAGAATCATTAAATTTGCCAGGAAAAATTGTATCACGCATGGTATTCGGCATGACTATTTCATGAAAGGAAATATAACTGATTCTATTACATTTTATAAAATTTTATTTTACATTGCTATGAATATGGAATGTACACTTGTAATAAGAAACATTTTTTCTGTTTTCTTGAGTTTGTGGTTCTCGAGATTTGTTTTTTTGTAATAAGAAACACTTTTTCCGTTTTCTTGAGTTTGTGGTTCTCGAGATTTGTCTTTCTTGAAAGTATTCGTTTGTATCACTGATTCATTTTTGTTTCCTCGCAAATTTTTAATTAGATTCCCATGATGATCTTTGTGTAGCTGAAGGCAGGGCTTTAAAGCCTGAGCACTTGAGTGCTCTGTTAATTTGATTAATTGTTGCTCCCCAACTCCACTTTTAGCTAATGCAGATATTGCAGAAGATCTGTGAGAACGATTAGTTATTCATTTTCCATTTTTTGATATCTAACCCAATCTTCTGTGCTGATTGTTTTGTCCATTTTGGTAGGGTGTTTATACCTGTAGGCGAGTTTTTATACCAACAGCCTTTTTCCCAGGCAGGATTTACTGTCAAGAATAATCTAACAGGACAGAGATTTTCATTTTCGTTGTTCCTAATGAGCCATTTGCTGGAAGCTAGAACTTTTGACCCACCTTGGGTAGTTTTCGAAAAAACTGGATTGTACTCAACACGTCTAGTAAATTGACCACCGTTGTCCATTCATGCTGAAAAAACTGTACTTTGTAATTCACAGCTTCATTCTCTCGCCAAATGCACAGATATGGAAAAACTTCTTCTTTAAACCTTCCGGATTAGCCTCATTCCAACTATTTGCCATTGCGTGCACTTCTTCCAGTGTGAGGGCTTTCACACTAACTTTTCTAGTTTCACAATTTTCTTGAAGCATTTTTCGTTTTGCATCACAAGCATTTGTTGGTTGTTTAAAAGAAATATCAGAAAACTGATTTATTTTAATGTTATATTCATTAAAATATTTTTCCTGGACCATCAAAGCTGTTGTGTTCCATATTTATTTTAGGCTCGTTTCTTTATAATTTTCCCCATTCTTTTTTCGCATGTTGAATGCCCAATCCTGTAATATATTTGCTATTTCCTCTGAAGTTGTTCGCCGCTGCGTGCAGAATTCGGTGAACTGCTGCCATATCGAAGTTTCAGTTTTCACCGTATTTAACGGAATAATTTTCGAAATTGAAGCACTGATGCTTGCCGTTGTTATAGTATTTAACATTACTAGCATGGTAAAAGGGTTTTTACTGGCGGACAGAAGGATATAACTGGCGAGCCGCAGGCGAGCCAGTCACCTTCTAGAGCCAGTAAAAACCCGTTACCTTGCGTGTATTGTTCAATATTTTATTTGTTTCTCACTTGTAAATAACTATTATAAATTATTAAAACCTCTAGAAGATCCAATATTTGAAGAAACTTCGTATGAGCTTTAGACGTATTGCCTTGGAAACGCACGTCAGCATGGCACTTGTCATAGCATTTACTGTGTTGTCTAGTCCTGTCATTTAGATTTTAACTAACCTTGGTTATTACCACTCTGTTTTCAACTAAAAAGCCAGATTTCCGACTTACGTCATAGTTAGATTGATTAGTAACAATTTTATTTATTTTGATTTGTCGAACATAATAGTTATTTTTATTGTTCATGTTTTTACAGTGCGTGTCTCTGTGTCTATAGTACGTCAATCAGTCTTTAATGTTCACGAAATGCTATTACATCTCTAAGGTCGTGATATCAGTATTATACGCACTAACAGTGATTTATTATTAGGGCTAGATGGTTGAAATTTAAGCGCTTCGAATTGACTCCTACCCAGCAGACCAGTGGCTCGCAGCCGATATTACACATCGCGGAGAAAATTATGAGAAAAATAATGTTAACTAAATGTCAGTTGATGATTTTAAAATCCATATCCATGAAATAACAATAACAATAATTTTAATAATTTTCAACTGTCAAGTCTCGTTGAAAATAAAACTATTTGTGTAAATTATCAAAAATAATGTACAATTGGAAAGCGAGAAGCGGGCAAGGCAAGGTTGCAGAGGCCTGCACTGGTCGCCTGATCGGACGAGTAGAGAGGATAAATAAATTTCGACCACCCAGCTCTAGTTATTATACAGGGTGTTATTGAAAGGTATGTACAACAAAATTGATAGTTATTCGCCAAGTCCAAGAAGTCTGAAAATCTTATTTTGTGTTATCAAAATTATAAGGGGAAAATTAACCCTTATCCAACCTTTTTAGACGCTAGTGAAGGATAAATAGGTAAAATTAATTTATTTTAATAAATCCTAGCAACTGTAACAATAAAACTTTTGTCAAGACTAAATGTTGCTATAGAAACGAAATGATCTTTTTATCAGAGGCGTACAACGAATTTGGACATAAATTTTAATAATTTTTATTTCTAAAAGGAGAACACTTTTACCTGAACTTTTTTTTACTCTTAGCACCCATACTTCGACACCAATTGCTGATTTTATTTTGTACGTACCTTTCAATAACACGCTGTATAGTATTTCTTTCACTTATAAAATAAATAACTATTACTTTACAGGTCTTCATTATGGTATATCTAATGAAGAACAACGTTCGGGAAAAGATTGTCTCACTTTGTGTTTTGAAAAATATAAAGAAGGTCTGAGTAGAGTATCGTCGCTGGAAAAAGCAAGCCTTTGGTCATTATACTTAGATTGCTTAGTTGAAGCACAAGTTGATCGTGACAGTTATGGGTTATTAAAAAATGACACAACTGTTTTACTTAAGTCAGCTTTAGAACAAGCTTCTAATGAAAAGTATTTGACAGAAAGATATTACATAAAATGGTTAGAATTAGTGACAGATGAAGAAGCCTTGCATATCCTAGAAAAAGGTAGTAAATTATATTGGTTTTATTGTAAATCATTTCATTGTTTTTTCTAGGTACCTCGGCATTACCACATTCTGTTGACTTATGGAAATTACGTCTGCGTTATGCAACAATGACTGATAAAAATATCAAGGTAGATGAAGTTTTTAATCGAGGATTAGAAATGTTAAAAGAACGCTCTTTACCATTATGGTTTATGTATATTCGTTATTATACTTTATTATCTAGAGATGATATGATTGATGATATATATACTAAAGGTATTACATATCCACAAGAAATTTCTGAGGTATTGAAACCAAGATATATTGAATGGTTAGCACTAGCTAAAGGTATTCATGTTGCACGAAAAATGTATTATAAGTTGGCGAACGAAAAACCTTATTGCAAAGAACTGCATTTCAGTATGTCTAAATTAGAATCTACAGAAATTGAACATGATTATGAGGGATGGGCCCGAGTTCATGAACTAGCATGTAAGCAGTTTGGAGAAGAAGATGTAGATGTATGGATAAATCATATTTTGTTTTATTTACATTTTAACAAATCTGATAATGTTAACGAGAAGATACAACGTATTTATACAGAAGCTGAAAATACTCTGTCACCTCTTTTACAGTCAGATTTTAAAGAAAAGTACGCTAAGGCTCTTTCTGAACAATAGAAAAATTGTATATTTTAAAACGTTATTTTTTAATAAATCATTATTAACGCAATGTGTTTTTATTCAGTTTGACAATTTACGTACTTATTTGCAATTGTATTCTCCTTTTAAATGACTTTGTGAAGTGAGAATAGATTGTGCAAAATAACGCCCAACATGTGAGCACATTTGCCTTAATTTAAATTAAAAAAAAGTACATTATTACATGTACATATTTCATAGGCGATTATTGTGGCACAGAAAAGTTTTGACCACGAGGAGCGCAGCGAGGAGTGGTCAAATAGAATGAGTGCCACAAGTCGTTTTATGAAAAGAGTGTAATATACTATTTTTTCTACTTTGCATTGTAAATAAATTTTAAAAGAATATTTAAAAAATATATTTTCGATTAGGGATTTTCCACAGTCGGGTGGTAACAAAATCAACATTTTCATAATCATTTAACACAAAATATAAATATTCAGTTGGTCTAGTTGTTTCGACTGACCGCATTACATCACCAACAACTGTGTTAGACGGCCGGCGCAGATCCGACAACCCATTTGACCAGGAAGACATCGCTGACCTTCACTTACCCACCTCCGCCCCTACGACAGATAAGCTTTTCCTTCCACCTCCTTCACAACAAGATACTCGATAATCGGAAGTTCATAGTAGTAATAGAAATAATTCGTGAACTAGTAATGTAAGGTTATAGCTATAACTAATCAATTGATCGATTGTTGATTTTGATATTCAATTAAACTTTGACTACGGACAGGGATATTTTTTCCAATAGTGTTAATCCCTGTCCAACTGATATTGTTTATCTAAACAAAACTGGTGGCGCCCTTCACAATATCATTCGACAACGTAGAGCTCCTTCTACCCTTCTTTCTTCTGAGTGAGCCGGCAACCAACGACCGTGGCGATTTAAAAAAAAGAGTCGTAACAAGGTGAGTGACAAAAAGAAGACTCGCCCAAAAAAAAAGAAGCCTCAGATAACTAGCCAATACCAAAACAAACATACGACGATAAGAGGCTGTAACGAATCGGATACATTTTACTGCGGTGGTTTCTCGGGCGTGGGTATATGTAGGTAGAACCCGCAAAACCACTACCTGTGACCAGATTCGAAAGTTCCTTGAAAGTATATATAATGATTAATGATCAAAACGACGAATTGTGTATGCCGAGACTACTTTTGTCGGCAATGCCGACAGCAAGTGGATAAGAGTCTCGTGCCCTTCGACAAACCCTGCAGCTAACATCAGGGACCTGTACACCCATCACGTTGCGGCGGTATATCAAGGTGTTTATCACGTTATCTTGACAGGCCGCGATGAATCCCTCAGTCTCAGACATAAGCCCGGCTGACCTTAGATATTTGAAAGTCAGCCTTGTTCACAAACCCCGTGTCTCGATGTTCTGGTAGAACATACCTTGCATAGATCTATCAACATGCTGTCTGAACAACACATTCTGTTCAGCAGTCTTTGGGCTCTTAGGTGGTCGGGCTGCAAGTCGGTTGCCAACTCAAAGTTGTCTCCTCGTCGCCGGCCCGGCATCCTACTTCGAAGCTGTTACTAAGTTCTTCAGCAGCCTTGGTTGCCACCTTAAAAATAAACGTGCCAGCCCCCGGGTTCTCGTGGCTTTTTACCATTCACAGAAGGGGATCTGAGCTCTTAAGGATCTTCAATGCTAATCCCAGGACCACTCTGCGATGCATGCACTCCAAATTAACGAGTCCCCTGCCTCCTTGATGTCGTGAGAAATACAAACGGGGAACTGACGACCTAGGATGCAAACTCCGTTGCATGTGCATCATCTTCCGGGTATCCCTGTCGACCTTCCGCAACTCATCAACTGTCCACTTCATTACTCCAAAGGAGTAGAGCAGGACTGGAACCGCAAGCATATTGATGGCTGCCACCTTGTTTGTCCCGTGAGTTCGGAAGACCAAATCTTTCGAAGCAGGTTCCTATACTTGCCGCGAAGAGCTTCTTTTACCTTGGGAGCGTCATGTACACGCTGTTGCTCTATCCCAAGATATTTGAAATTCTCTTCGGCATCCAGATGTCTGAAGATGCTTCTATCAGCGAGTTGCACGTCTTCAGGGAACTCCCGCGATCGTTTTCTTTTCAAATGGAATACTGCTCACTTTTCAGTTCCCAGCTCAATGCCAACGTCCCGCGTATACTCTTGGACTACATTGAGAGATTGTTTGAGATCTTTCTCTCCGGAAGCCCACAATTTTAGATCATCCAGATAAAACAAATGGGTGATCTGATGCCTCCGATCGCTTGGTGGTCCACACATACAGGGTGTCTCAGGAATAAGTACATTAATTTTATTCAGTAACAGAACTCGTGAAACGGAACAACTTTTTTATCTAGCATTTTTTCGAAAACTCAAGTCGAATTTCGAATTTTCCCACCCATATATTTACGAGCCGTCTATGTTCACCTTAAATAATAACAACACTACAACAATGAAGAAGGTACCCTAGCAACTGTTTTGACACTGACAATCATTTTTATGTCAAGTGTGTTATTAAACGTTGTCTCTTTAAAGTTTGTTTAGCACAGATTTCTAATTTATAGACGAAATGTGTTGAAATGGCTTTGTTTTCAAATCTGGAATGCACCGATATCGTTTTAATGTACGGTGAAGCTCGGGGAAACGGCACTCGAGCCCAAAGAATTTTTTCAGAAAGCCTCCCAAATCGTCGTCTGCCAAATGTGCGCAGTGTTAAGAACGTTTCAGCATCTTCGAGAGTAAGGATCTTTTAAACCTGCACTTCAGGATCGGGGTAAGTTACGTAGTAATAGAATTGCTAATATTGAAGAGGCTGTTTTGAAGAGTGTCGAAGCTCCACCGGACACTAGCACGCATCACTGTCTAGTGTGATGTATCGGATAGTAGTATTTGGAGGATACTCAGAGAACAAAAAATGTACCCCTTTCAGGACCAGAAAGTTCAGTTATTGAAACTAACAGACTTACCACGTACACAAAACTTTTGTGAGTGGGTTAACAGAAAAATAAACGAACAAGCAAATTTTGTATCTCTTATACCATCAACTGATGAGGTCGGTTACACGAGGAAGGTGTAATCAACACCCACATTTGGGCCGATGAAATTCCGTACGCCATTAGGGAGCAGGATTTTCAATTTCTCTCTAAATGTTTGTCACATTGACAAGATTAGGAAAATACGTATCCTAATAACTGTTTTTGACCATAAATTATTAATTATAATAATTATTAGTGTCCATGGGTGACTGAGGATCGATGGGTGGGTAACCTTAATTGGGATCAAACTTTAACAACTTTGATAATTAAAAAGTTCTTGACAAACTCCATTAAAAAAAGTTGTTGAGTTCAATGAGCTCTATAATTGATTAAAATTAATGTACTTATTTCTGAGACACCTTGTATATCCACGGGTTCGCTTTAAGGCAATGGAGAGCGGTAGCAGTGAGATGCAGAACAGAAGGGGATTTAGGGATTCACCCAGAAAAAAAACCCTTCTGAGCGTTACCAGCTCCATAGTGACCTGTCTCGTACCGGATGTTATGGTGAAGCGGGTTCACGAAAGCGGCAGCAGATCTTTTATGCATCTCACTAGTGGGGCAAGCACCGCAAGACACCTGAGCAAGTGTAACAATAACTCATGCGATGTAAAATCAAATGCCTTACGGTAATCTGTCCAGGCCATGGAGAGATTGCGCTTGTAGAGAGTGGAGTCCCTGGTGACAACATTGTCTGTTACTAAGTGTAGGGTAGACCTTAGGTTGGTATTGTACGTTGGTACTGTTGACAGTTGGTTGAGAGATGAATAAACAGTGAAGCATGGCGAAAGACGCCGTAGCGAATATAAATTAATACCTGGTCCCCTGCAAAGCCAACCACCACATGGTGTCAGGTGTCGAAAGATACAGTAAAAAGTGTTAAAGATACACAGTAAACTTATACCGACGTGTTTTTCAGTAAAACATCGCTGAGACATCGTTAAATAACGAGGTAAACACAATGGCGACCGTTGAAGAACTACAACAACAAGTGGCTCAGTTACAGTAAGCTCTACAAACATTAGAGAGTAGGCCTCAACACAGTAACGCCGAAAATGCAACTAATAATAGCACCATCATTAACACAGTGCCTACACCAGATAGATTTTCGTTCAGCAAAGATGATTGGAAAACTTGGATAACGCATTTCGAACGGTACAGACAAGCCACAAAGATAAATACGGCAAGTGAAAGCTCACAAATAAATTCACTTTTGTTACATATGGGCGCGAAAGTAACTAAATTTTTAGAAAGCCATCAGTGCACCGAAACAGATTTCTCGACATACAGAGAACTAAAACAGTTCTTCGACAAAAAGTTTACAGGAACAACCAATGTAATATATGCACGTGCAAAACTCAATATGCGTAAACAAAAGGAGGGCGAAACTGCACAAGAGTACATAAGTGCATTAATAAGTTTAGCAAAATCATGCAATTTTCAGACATTAGAAAATGAACTGATAAGAGATCGTCTTGTCGTGGGCATACACGATGGAAAACTTTCCGAAGCATTACAGATGGATAGCCAGTTAACATTAGATTCAGTAGTTAATAAAATTACTCAGGCAGAACGTATTAAAGACGAGAATAAAGAACTAAGACAGCAAAGTTGTCAACTTGATAGTGTGACCAAAAACAGGAAACCGTTTAATAAAACTTACAGGGAAAAAGGAACTAAAAGCTACACATTCCGAGAGGAAAAAAGAGGAAAGTTTCAAAGAAAACGTGAGACATGCATACGATGTGGAACAAAACCCACACATAGAAAAGAAAATTGCCCTGCACAAAATGCAAAATGTCGGAAATGCAACTTGCTGGGACACTTTGCACAACAATGTCGAACAAAGAAAGTACATGAAGTCACTCAAAAAGAAACAAACACGGACACAGAAGCAGACGAATCAACCTACAGTTTTGATCAAATAATTAATGTCAATGGCATAACACACGAGGGCTCGTGGAATATTAAACTAAAGGTTAACAATACCACATTGAAAT